TACATTTTGTTATTTTTCTAGTGTTTGTTTCATATCTGATATTTCTTTTTCTTTTTTTTCTATTCCTGCAGTGAGATTCATTTTTTCCCTTAGTCTCATGATTTTGACTGCCCTGTTTATTGGTTTTTAAAATTCCCTTTAGAATTTTGGCAATGCTTTTTATTCAGTATTTCTTTAGACTTTGAAAGTTTTATTTTTTCTTCAATTTGACTAGGTATAGCAGTGTAAGTTTGGAATTATTTTCTTCAGGGATTGAAGCATATCTTTTCAAGCCCTTCTGAGTTTTAGATTTTAAATTGAAAAAACTTGTTTTTGCCTTTGATTTAATACTTCTGTGGGATTTAACATTTCCTTGTGTCTGGTTTTAACATTCTATGTCTAAATTTTTTGGCAAATTGGCTAGGATATGCCATGAGGAGTTTCTGTTTTGGTCATGTTTATGTGCCTCTGTTCCCTCGTAGAAGATTCTCCTACAATTCCAGTGAATAGGTTTTCTATGCCACTGGCCTGTACTCTATCATCCTACTTGAGTCTTCATTTTATTCTTTCAGATTTTCAAATGTTTTTCAAATAATCTATTCTTTCTTTATTCTTTATTGGGCTGTTCTTGCAAAACATCCACTTTGTGATTTAATTCTGATATTCTTTCTTGTAAATCATTTTAATTATTTTTGAGATTTTCAAGTGAATTTTTCATTTGACTACTTAAAAACTGACTTCTAGGATATCTTAATTCTTTTTCCACAATTTCTATTTTTCATAATGCAGTCTAGCATATATTGTACCATGCTTTCCTCCTGGATTCATTCAGTTCTCTATTGTATCTTCTATGATCTCATTACATATTTAAACATTTCATTAATTTAGCTCCTTATTTGCACCATCTTTGCTATCACTGATCATTTTCACTATTGCTTTTATAAATTATTTGAAATTTCTTCCACTGAAATACCAGTGAGATCAATTTTTGGGAGGAAATTATGATTTGGGGAAACATATTTTTCCTTGTTTTCTGATGATTCTTTGAGTGTGTCAGTGAGTGTGTGTTTGGGTGTGATTGTTGAAGTTTGAAGATCACCAGGAATGGAGAGTGGAAGACCTATTGTGTAGAGATCTTTTGAGTAAGTGGTTTGTTTTCTGATGTATTTTAGCCAGTGCTGTCTCAGCATGAAAGTATGCAATGTATCCATTGGTTTTCCAACTTTGGCATGAGTTTGAGCTCTTACCACTCTTTTTGAGGACATGGTAGCCACCAATAATATCACTATCTGATGAACACACCATATATCAACACAGACTTTAAAATTTCTTTACAAAGTTCACTACCCAGGAACAGAAAGGGAGAGTAACAAGGTGGGAAAGGAGGAAAATAGGCCTTGGTGAGACTATATATGTATAAGAAAAAGGGAAGGAGGGGATATTTGACTGAGTGTAAGAATAGAAGGAATAAAAAAGATAAGAGAAGGGAGTATAAATTAAAAATGAGAAAAAATGTAGGGAGGTTGAACCTAATTAATAAATAAACTAGCAGATGCATGTATCTGACAAATGCTGTGTATGGCTCCATAGGCAGGGAAAGGCCTCATTATATTTTCTTGCTAAGCCTGACTAAAAAGTGATAAAGCTTTCCTGGAGAGAACAATTAACCAGACAAGTGAGTGCTGAAATAACAGAGCACTGAGGCAGATAGCAGGTGCCATAGCCAGGTTAGCCTCCTGTCCCCAGCTCCAGTAAAT